TATGTTTTGCTATTATAATCGCGTATAGTTCAAGAGAAAAACTTCATATTTAACAATTTTCGATTTTTTTTAATAGCAAATGGCTTTTTAATAATAAGGGTAAAGCAGATTTCATGGTCTATAGATAGATTTCGATGGTCTATTAATATCACATTAAAAGTACTTTTTATAGGAATTTTTTTTAATAATTTTAATAAATGTTATCAATATAAACTAATATTCAATTTGCAATAAAATTTATATATAATTTTAGTTTTAGTTTTAGTGATTGTTCCAAGTGTTATGGTACCATGGCACAGACACGCCTTATAATCTTATCTGCAATCATTTTGCTACAGTTACTCTTTGTATGATTCAAACAAATTTTAAAGTAATAATAATTAATATATCTAAATTTATTTAAAAATTCTTTATTACAGTGTCCAACAATAAATACTATGCTTTTCAAAATATTTAAAATTGAATGTGACGGAAATTCGAAGTTTGTAATAAATCTAAAATGCAGATTGAGAGCCATTAATAGAGATAAATCAGTAATCAATATGGATTTTGATATTGTTGACGTAATAGAAAATTTTTTTGTGAGTTATAAAATACACAAACTGAATACATATAATAATATATTTATTATTGTTCTTTGCACAGACACACGTTCAAGTTTGGCAAAAGAACTCGATGAATATATACCGCCCATTTTTGGTAAATATCACTGAGAATGCCTGCGACATTTTAGATAAAAGAAAAAGTCATTTCTATACGAGACTAGCATTCAATATTCTGAAGGAGTTCACAAACATTAACCATACATGTCCCTATAGAGTAATTGTATTAAATATTCTATATTTTGCTATTATAATAACAAGTTTATATACAGGATCACATATTCGTTAAAAATTTCTATGTGGATCAACGTTCGATACCTGTTTCACCACCCGCAGGCATATATAAGATTGTTACTCGTTTGTTTCAAAACAGTAGCTTTGAACATTTTTTCACTTTTATTTATTATATAGAAATCAGTAATGAAAAGTAAATTTTATAAACAATAATGCCGTGTTGTGTTAATAGTCATTGCATTTTTAACCAAAAAAAAAATATTTGTTACTTTTTACAATTCTAAAATAATGTATCTTATAGACAAAAATTAAACAAATCGGTTTTATTGCTGACTTTAAAGTTATTTTTAATTATTTACTCGTTAACTAAATTATCCATCAAATTAAATTTTTTATCGACGATCTTAAACTTAATAAGAGATGTGTTTTATTTCTAACGCTTTTGGATGTGTGCTATATATACATATAATACTTAAAGCAATTTTCAACACAAACGCATATAAATAGATATTAAAATTTTATATATATAATTTTTTATAAAAATCAAAAAATAATTAAATATTTAGCACAAATTACTAAGTGTAATTTTTTATTTGAAACAACATTTTTATAATTTTATGTGTTAAACAAACAGGCTAACCCCAGTAATAATCTAAAACATAACTTATTGGATTGAATTATATTTAACAATATATGCAATAAATAAAATTACAAATACAAAAAAATATTTTGAAATTAATTAATATTTTATAATTTATAATATATTAATGACACCATAAGTCATAACAATAAGCCATATTTATTATTCAGATATATTTGTAAATAAGGACCCATCAGAGAAATAAATGTGAGAACACGATTAGAACTTGAACCAGTTTGAGCTAAAATATCACTTGTCCGGCAAGGATGCAATGCAAAGTACGGTTTAAAAAGTACTGGATGTTCCATTTGTGTTAGAATTGACAACATATCGGCTCTTGTGCGGATCGTCTCATTTTCATCGTAACTACGAAACAAGCGCCAAGAATCTTGAAGTTCCAGGAAACTGCCATCTATGAAAGAAATAATATATTATATCTACAATAATATGTTATATATACAATAAATATATTAGATAATTGAATATGTTATATACAATAAAATTATTATTGTGATTTTAAAAATATTTACCACTTTTATATGCACGAAAATATAAGACCGGAACTTGATATGAAATGCTATAAACAATATGATATTCCATTTCTATAATTTCAGAGGTATCATCTTCGTTAGCTGTTTCAATAGCTATCGAATTAGTAGACTCTTTATTATGACATTCCATTTCTATAATTTCAGAGTTGTCATCTTCGTTAACTGTTTCATTATTTAACTGATTTGCAGTTTCTGATTTGGGCTCATTCGACTGATTTGCAGTTTCTGATTTGGCCTCATTTGACTGATTTGCAGTGTCTGATGGAGGTTGATTAATATTAATTGTTATTTTTTGTTTGTGTATTAAAAACGAGTTCCCTTCATTTTCATTCTAAAAGAAACATATTAAAGTAAAATTATTTAATAGAAAAAAATTAAGTTTCTATTTAAATAATGGAGCATGTTTTAATGGAAAAATTTTTAATTATCATTATATATCATAAGTTAGATCTATTATATTAATGAACTGTTTAAATAGCTCATATCAATTTTAGGATTATTTTTAATAACGAGTTTTTGGGGAGATATATAATGAATTTATTTAGGTATAAATTGGTTAATTTGAAAGTCCAGAGTTACCAACACTAACGTTTTACCAGGAAGAAATCCCCTTTTCATTAATAATATTATAAAAAATTATAAAGTAACTCTGTTTCGGAATGCATAATGCCAATTTAAAAGATAAGAGAATCTTAATAAAATTCACATTATAGTTCATCTTAATCTTAATTATAATTCACTCTAGTTCACTAATGCATACAAATTTTTATTTGCAGACAAAATTCGAAAAAATACGTATTTGCATTATAACAAATTATTTTCCAAAATCTTGCCAGTGTAGTTTCACAGAAACCCGGATTATAAGGTTCATAGTTTTTGTGTTTTTTCTGGATTATCAAGAGTATATTGTACTAGGAATCTTAAATGGATAGCCAAAACTTTCACTGCTTGATTATTTTATTCACAACGTGTCATAAAATTTTTAAATTGATTTGTTTTTAGTAATTAGCAAATCTCATATTACTTGATAGTATGTATTAGTAATTAATTGCTAGATAAATAAATGTTTGCTATAATTAATAATAAATGACACACAATGAACTACATCTATAGGTAACTTATTCAAAAATCGTATAAAAATTGATAGAAACATTTCAGACCTCATATAGGTAGGTGTTATATTAACAAAATTATTATGTATTGAAGGTGTTTATTAAATCTCTTTATATTAAAAACTTTGCTTTTTATATATTTTTAAAACAGTTATAAAATTTTTATTTTAACACCTATGCATATTTAATGCTGTAATTTACAGCAATTAATTTAATATTATAAATATTTTATTGCTTGCGTCATCGCATCGTTTTTGGAAAAATTATTTAATTAGCTTCTCACGGGAAATTGGGTCGCCGCAGATGAACATTTTCGGAATGGAAATTTACGGAATTTAATTTGTTAATAAATGATCATCAAATCTATTTTATAAATAAGAATGGTATATTAATAGTATAACTTTAATAAAGTATTAATTTTTAAATCGAAATTTAATTTTTAATTAAATAAATTTTTGAACTGACAATACTGCTAATTTTTGAGCTGATAAATATTTCCGAAGCGATCTTCGGAAACATCTGTTATTAGAAATTGATCCGTGACAAATTTAAACACCGAACCCAACATGCAGTAATTTTTCTGTACTTTGTCAAATTTTAGTCAATTTTCTAATATTGTTCATTTTTGTTATTTATTCCCAAACTACAGTTGCATTTATTCTGTTATTCTTAGAACCACCGCATAAACCACAGCTATATAAGTCACTTATATATAAGTTGTTATTTTTTTGCATATATGTATAAATATTATTGTTTGTAAAAAATATTACTGCAAATTTTTTAGATTGCTTACATTCTGCGAATCTATTTAAAAAGTTTTGCATTCAATCGAATTCTAGAGTCAGCCTGAGAATTCACTTAAATAAAAACCAAATTTTTTGTTTCTAAAAATTATTTCATGATATAAGTATTTGACATTAAAAAGTATATATATATATAAATCTCATAAAAATTTTAATTACATTTATTTATAACTATATATATACAGTAACAAATATTTAAACTGATTAAATATAATAATACTTACTTTTTTATACAAACTCCAAGTATCGTTTAACTTCTCCGAGATTTTCAAAAACTCATTACATTCGTCCAGAAATTCAGTCCAAGTCATTGTACACATTGTGAATAATTTAGTTATAGAAATAAATTGTTTTATAAATTATCTGAAATATATAAAACAAAAACTGCAAATTATAACAATATAATCTAATAGCGATTACCCACTACTGTTATTAAGGTTGCTATTTCTTCCCACCATAAGATAGAAATCACTTTACATTCAATTATGACTTGTCGTCCTAACACGTAACACTTTTTTGGTGTAGGTCAAATTAAAACCTATTTGTATAGTCCCTGAAAATAAAGTTTAAACCAATTAGGAGAGCTTTAGATACCATTGCGTAAGAAATAACATATTGGTCGTTCTTTTATAAGCGGAAAGGTTTTTGATCTCATTACCACCAAATTGGGCAAATTTTTTTTTATGGGCTCCTTTAAAGCTGGAGCAAAACTACTTCCAACTATATTTTTCTTAAGAGTATATCTAAAAAACTAATTTGACCACACAGAAAGTATTCGTATTACCGATTGAGTATTGTTAATTAATAGTTAATACGAATGGATTATAAATTGAAGAACAAGATGTTTCCAAAAATTTCTATTACGTTTTTATATATTATTAATAAAAACTTGAATACAAAAAAAAGTAACTAAAAGGCACACAACTTTGACGCTGAATAATATTGTTTAAGGACAAATTCACAAAGCCAGGCTCAGATCTTTGACGATTCGAATCATCTAAGGCATCGTTATATTTCTGAATATATAAAAAGCATAGCAGGACACACGTCAACATGTTCTTTATAAATTACAACTGTGGTTAAGTTATTATTACATCTCAGATTTGCAATACTGATTTATAAATATATTAATAAAATTGTTAGAGAAATAAATGCATAAATAAATTTATATTCGAGCGATCTTTTTCATTTTTTAATATTTTTGAAAATTAACTCTGTTGGCTTTCACACTTAACCAGACCAGACTGGCGTATCGGTCTACAGTTGAAAAGTGGGTTATGAGCAAAACAACGTGACACCGTCTATACGCTATAACAGCAGATGCCCTTTGAAGAAAGAATTCCCAAACGGTCTATTAAAGCTGGTTTAAATAAATTTTAGAATATACTAAAAATATTACTCGTGCATTTGTCGTATACCTATAGCAAGTTGGTTCAACCTATAAAGCGTTTAAATGCAGAATATATGTAGTCTCAATTGTAGGAGCACTAAAATTGAACATTAGCAACTCAAACAAAACACAAATGAAAAACATGAAACCTCTTTAAGAATATTTAAGCTGGAGTATAATATTAGCTTATATAAATTTAAAACATATTTCTTGTCACAGATTTCGACGCAATCACATATAATAAAAGATCTATATATGTAGCAGCTATCAACTTAATTATAAAGCTGTACAAACAATGTTATTTAAATGCCAATTTAGCAAAATGTTCACATATTTTAATAATAGGGTGAAACATTTATCAAATAAATTATTTATCAAACCAATCATACTCACAAACTCACAGTAGATTCTCACAACACGCTTAATATCTTATTATCAATTTCATATAGTAATTGCTTTAAATACTTATATATATTCTTATTTTTTTATATACATATTTAATATATATGTATATATAATTATTTACTATTAGAATGCAGATACCGACATTGTTTACAAACAATTCTCGATAAAACAAATAACATATGAATGACGTTCAAAAGAAATTGTAAATGACACATTAAGAAATGTCAAAAATGGCAGTGCTACCACACTGACAACTTTTGCAAAGAAACTACACTGCTTGTAACAGATGACAGAGTCAGCAAGAAGCACAAATATTTAACATTTGTACTAATACTAATAAAATAATTAAAATGCAAGATGTGTACGCAAAATATTATTGAAAACATTTTATGTGTTAGCACGAAAAAGACATCAGCGATCTCTCTACCTTTAGATCGATCGCTCTTCATATATACATATTTCCATGTCTTTAAGGCCTCTTCAACCCGTTTCTAACTATTATAGTGTACACCACGTATGAAATATCAATATTAATTTTAAAATATATACATAATTTATTAAGCTTTATAGCATTGACAGACGAGCGCACTAAATTATCATTAAGCAGCCTTAAATGATCATTTTAAAAATACCCTGGCAGACGGTATAAATTATCATTAAGAAGTTTATGTATGTTTTTTGTTATTGAAAAAGCAAGAGTTTTAAATTCAAAATGGATAAGAAAGGAAAATTAAAGAAACTTGCTTTAATTATATAAAAATATATAAAAAAAATATAAAATATATAAAAATATAACGAGTACTTATATTTACCAATGTTTCCAAATATGTCTTGTTTACATTTTGACAACCAAATAGCTTGCAATTTGTTCCATTTTTTATTTCGTTTCACTTGCATATGCAGCATTACCATTTCTAAAAACCTAAATGACGAATAAATTGGGTTAAATTCGGTCATTTAAAGACCATAAATGATCATTTAAAACTGCAAAATGAGCAAATAAATTATAATTTAGCCACTTAATGATAATATAGCTACCGTCTGTCAATGCTATTAAAATCAATCCAAAGCATACATATTGTTGATGAGAGTAAAAATAAATTTCCATATACTATGATATGTTTCTAATATCATTAACATAAATATATGATAAACATAAATGATCATATATTGATCATAATTTATAATTATATATACTTGATATATTAAAATTGACATTAGTGATCTTTAAATAATCCAATTCCAATCATAATTTTTTAATTATTATGATTTTGAATACTGTTACTTCAAATGAAACGAAACGGAAATTGAAACATGTCACTATCAGCTATTTAATAGGTCTGTTTCACGAGCTACTCGGAGTCAAACTCAAATAAAACACAAGTAAAGTACAAACTGCGAGCGTAATACAAATAAAGTGCTAATTTATGCTCTTTACACAGATTTTCATGGAACCACTTTGTGTAAAATCAGGTGAGAACTCCAGTACCGCGCAAATAAACAAAACTAAAATTTAAATTCATATCAAAATGGCTGATTCACACATCACACAAATTATACTTGAAAAGAATTTACGAGCACGGTTGCCACTTGAAAATTTTTTTCTGTACCAAAATTTGTTTAAAAAGGTACCATTTCTGTAAAAAAGGTCCAAAATTTTTCTATTGTCTTTTTATAAGAAAATACAATTTATATAAAATGTACAAAAAGTATAAAACAATACAATATCCACAATAAAGTTGGGTCGCCGAAAATGTACCATTTTTTGAACATGAGTACCAGAGTACCAAACGGAAAAAAAAGTACCAATTTTGGTACTAAAGTACCATAAGTGGCAACCGTGTTTACGAGTAAAGTGTGTGTAGCATTTCCAAATTTCGACAAGGATGCTACACTCTCTCAGATGCTCTCATTTACTCAAAAATTTGCTGGTGGAGCGCACTTGTGCATTATTATGAGTAGCTCGTGAAACAGACCTAATGTTATGAATACAAAATATGTCGTTTCCTTAATTCTGTTGTGTATTTCTTTGATAATAAACAAATTTATGAAAATATTTTCTTTTTCAAGCATGTTTAAAAATATATAGGTGACGACTGTCAATTGAATTCATTGATAACATTAATTAGTGAACAAATTTGTTATATATAAATCAATTACTATACTATATCTTAGCATTTAAATTTAACAAATTCATAATATCATTCGCTTATGTACACGGTTATATAACGCACTTAGTAAATTTTTGTGTGTATTTATCAATCGGATATAGCACTATTTATATCAGCAATAATTCTGACAGCAGAAACTGCAATCCTCAACAAAGCAATTTTTTAGCCTATATATTATTAAACATCTTATAAAATTTTTACAATGATACGACCTAATATACCAAATTTTATCTAAATTATCCCATTCGAAATTTTGGTAAATACCAACATTCGTTGGCATACCGTACTTACTATTTCCTTCAATTTACCATCAATTTACTCAAACTCGCACACGGCCTAAATATATAATAATATAATATATATAATGTTTAAAAAAATTTAGAAAAATTCACTTTTATTATTTAAGTAAAATGAGTCCTTAGTGTCATTTCTTAACAAAGAAACTAAGAAATTGAAATATTTTTATGAAAAAACCATATAAAAGTTTTATTCATTCTTCGTATTACATGCACAATCAGTGTTGATTAAAAGCTGCGGGATATAGAATCCAGCTGTCAAGCACCTAACATTTATTCTGACGTTTCGACCTTTTTTTGTTTGTAGCTGCAATTTCGCTTTGAATATTTATAATTAAAGTTTTAATATAATTACTCTGAAAATATAAATTAATTTTACATTTTGGTTGTGAAGTATTTATTCAACATGTCTGCAGATGTACGTGATATTTTGGATATTGAAAGAGCAAACACACCAGAACTAACTAGAGAAACATTTTTGGCCACCAAGAAAAGAAACTTCGAAAGGTACTTATAATTAGTTTAAACATAAATTTTATTAAAATTCTTTCTACGAAGAGTCAAAAATGCATCCAAACGTCCTGAGGGTATGCATCGTGAAGTTTTTGCTTTACTGTATAATGACAACAAGGATGGACCACCCCTACTGCCCGACAACACAGGTACTGTATTATTTTAAATAATGTTCATGAAGTTTATTGTTTATTTATAATATGAATATGTTAATATATATGCAGTTTGTGTTGACAACAGTTATAAGCAAGCTAAAGCACGTCTTGGTATGCGAAAAGTGCGTAAATGGGAATGGGCACCTTTTACAAATCCTGCGCGTACGGACAATGCAATATTTCATCATTGGAAACGTGTCGGTGAAAAGGAAAAAGAATATGTTTTTGCTAAATTTAACAAACATTTGGAGATTCCAAGCTATACAATGACAGACTATAATGCGCATTTGCGTACGAATACACAAAATTGGAATAAAGCGCAAACCGATCATTTATTCGATTTAGCTAAGCAGTAAGCATTATAATATTATAATATAACATAATATTATAATATTTTAAATATATAATAAAATTGAACAATTCATTTAAGGTTTGATTTACGATTTATTGTAATGGCTGATCGTTGGGACCGCGAACAACATGGTACGAAAACTGTTGAAGACTTAAAAGAACGGTATTATGAGGTTGTAGGGTTATTGACTAAAGCAAGAGGCCAACCAAGTGACAAGAAAACGTATGTTTATGATGGAGATCATGAGCGTCGGCGTAAAGATCAACTAAAAAAACTTTTTGATCGTACATTAATGCAAGTTGAGGAAGAGCAGATGCTACTGAATGAACTGAAGAAAATTGAAGCTCGTAAAAAAGAACGCGAACGCAAAACACAAGACTTGCAAAAACTCATTTCTCAAGCTGATCAAGTACGTACAAATATGTGGCAAATAGTAAATATTAATCACTTAGTACGATTAATGTAACCTTTAAAATTGGTTCATTATTTAATATAACACAATTTATTAAATTTAGAGTGACGCAGCTAGCAATACACCAAGCACACGTAAATACGAAAAGAAGTTGCACAAAAAGAAACTTCACCACCAACCGCGTCCATCAAAAGTTGATTCTGTTGTAAATGCCATAGAAGTTGGTACCAGCGGTATTAAATTTGCAGATCTGCGTGGGTCTGGAGTATCATTACGTTCCCAAAAGATGAAGTTGCCCGCAAATATAGGTCAGCGAAAAGTTAAAGCATTAGAACAATGTATGCAGGAATTTAAAGTTGGTAAGTAAAATATAGTATATTTTTTCGTATATCTTTTAATAAATGATTGCGTGTTTTAGATCCAGCTCCACCACCTACAGAAGATATTTGCAATTCTTTCAATGAAATGCGCTCAGATATGGTGTTACTTGGTGAATTGCGTACAGCTCTAAATACTTGCATTTATGAGATTGAAAGTCTCAAGCATCAATATGAGGCAGCATGTCCAGGAAAGGTAATTTCAGTTTATACTAATTTTAATTGTTACTAACTTTTGTGTTGCTTGTAGAGTTTAAGCATTCCACCAACTTTAAAACCACCAGTAACTGTAACTCCAGAAACTGCGGAAGCTAATAATTCAACCACAACGACAACTACCTAAAAGAAAATACAAATACCTAAATTGATACATAAATCAATTTTCAAATTAATTATTTAATATAAAAATAACGGAATAAGTGGAAATGAAATAAATTAAGATAAAAATAAATATTTAATATGATGGCATATATAATTTTTTTTAAATCAAATTATAAAATTTCACATATATACGCAAAACGAACTATACAAACCATGTTTCTAAGGTATTTGCTTTTATATTTATATTTAACAATTATGTATTCATTTTGATCATTTTAGGTTTATTATACATTTTCCAACAATACACAGAATTTTATAATAGCTTATGAATTTTATGCAAAACTTTAAGGACATTATGAAAAAGTAAAATCCCAACAACATTATCATCAAAATTTTAAAGGTTTGATAAAAATTAATCAAAATAATGTAATCATTTTAAAATATAAAATATTTTTACAAAAATTTGATTTTAATAAATTCCGTTTAATTCAATAATACAATATTGGTCCAACAATAATATTGAAATTGTTATTAAAAGATACATTTATCATCTGTAAAGAATTTTTGTGCAGTTATTCCTACGAAGGTAATGATGCATTTTTAAATTATTTATTTAATAAGATTATGGGTTTCAAGTCCTTTAAAAGGAGTACCTTCCCCTACATTCTGCAACTTACCAATAACAGATGGAAAGCACTTAGGTCATGTGCGACTTCCAGGTTAACATGGTCCACCTATAATAAAAATAAATCCTTGAATCTCATCAAAAGAGACCGCGTGAATACTGAAAGGCTTACTGCAGTTCTTACTAGTCATTGGTGTGTAGGAACTCACGCAGAGAAACTGCACATTCCCTATAACCCTCAGTGCAGAAGTTGTGGAAACCCGCAGGAGAAAGAAACAATAATACATTTTCTCTGTGAATGCCCGGCTTTAGCGTCCAGAAGATACATTGTGACCGAAAAGTTTTCGGAAATTCTCATTTAAAATTCGCGCGCTGTATATTTTTCGATATTTTA